AGTGGCATATTTTTATAAAAATCATCAGATGGAGTTGCCTGTGCCCAAGAATCAATTTTCTGCATGTAGAGCTGAGGACATGAATTTTACCTGAGGTCTAGCTGAAAGTGAGGTTAGGAGAACAGAAGGAAATGACAGTATTTTGAGCCTCCTCCATGCCCCAGGCACTACTCTGCTATGTTTGACTCACAGTACTGTGTTTAATCTGAATACCTGTTTCCCAGAGGATGTGGGTGAGTTTGTTCTTGTGTCCAGTCAGCAAACTGGTGACAGATCCGGGCCACCTAGTCCACAGCAGTCAGACTGTCTTAACTGTATCACTTTTGTTAGTTATCAAAACTGTGTCTGCAGGTAGATTCATACATACTTGAGCTCGAAATAATTTTAATGGTTCTAAGAGATCAGATAAAAATGATGACAGTGTTGGTATCTCTTCTTTGGATTATCATTATTATCATTATGATCATACTGATATGAGAAGGTTCATGGATTTGGGGGAAAAATGTTCATTTGAATGATAGCAGAAATCTTATAATACTATATTTAAAAATATGTAAGGCTATCACTTCACTTCTACATTTTCAGATATTTCTTTCTTTCTTTGGTTGGGGGAGGGGAAGACTGGGGATTGCGCTCAGGGGCACTTAACCACTGAGCCACATCTCAGCCCTTTTTTGTATTTTATTTAGAGACAGAGTCTCAATAAATTACTTAACACCTCACCATTACGGAGGCTGGCTTTGAACTTGCGATCCTCCTGTTTTAGCCTCTGGAGCCGCTGGGATTACAGGGTGTGCCATGGCACCCAACCATTGTCAGATATTTCCATAGGTTCAGAAAGCCCTGGTCAGAAATGTACCAAAATATTGATGGTGATTATTTCTAGTTTCTGGGATTGCAAATAGTTCTTATTTTCCTACATATACTCCTCCACGCCCCCCCCCCCAAATTTGATCCAGTGTATCTGTTTATAGTTATAAATGAATGGAGAGGCTTTTAATCTCAGTTAGCTTTAAAGTCCATAAAATAGCATCAAGGGAGGGTCAGAAAGTTCATCTGCTAGGATAAGAAGCGGGTATGGCTCTGGTAGCTGCACATAACATGTTGACAATGCGTAGGAGCTTATTGAGCACACAATGCACAGTGCAACTCCTCCAAAGGACATAAAAGAAATGTCAGACTTGTCTGCACAAACTTTATCAGTTTGTTTTTAAAAAAAAAAATAATAATGGAAAACAGAGATTGAACCAAAGGGCATTTTATTACACCCAACCCTTTTTTTTTTTTCTTTTTTGATACCCAGGATTGAACTCAGGGTTGCTTTACCACTGAGCTACATTCCCCCAGCCCTTTTTATTTTGAGACAGGGTCTTACAAAGTTGCTTAGGACTTGGCTTAGTTGTTGAGGCTGCCCTTGAACTCATGATCCTCGTGCATCAGCCTCCCAAGTGTTGGGATCATAGGTGTGTACCACTGTGCCCAGTTTGTTTTCGGTGATTTTTGTTCATAGTTTTTTTTTTTTTTTAAATATATCTTTCTAGTTGTAGATGGACACACAATATCTTTCTTTATTTTTATGTGATGCTGAGGATCAAACCCAGTGCCTCAGACATGCAAGGCAAGCACTCTACCACTGAGCCCCAGCCTCAGCCCCATAGTTGTGTTTTTAATAACCTGTATGGAGAGCACCGGACTCCTGAAAATCCGGGCGTTAAACAACCAGCTCTGATGCCTTTGTTCTGATGTATTTGTCCTGCTTGCCACTGACAGGCAAGCTCTGTGGTTCTGGGTTGTCTCTCCAAATACATTTCAGGGTCTTTAACAATGGACCTCCTTAGAAAAATTTTTGGCAGGAGGCTCATAAACTCAGTCACTTTTCTAAAGCAGCAGCTTGAGGATGTTCAGAGCAGGAAGCAGGAGGCAGGCTTAGTAAAAGATTTTATTCTGAAAGATGAGATTCAAACTACTTTGTTAGCTGAAGAGCGCTGGTTGTGAGGCTGTGAGGAGAACAATAGTGTTGTGTGAGTGTGCTGGGCAGGCCACACAAACGCAGCTTGTGTTGCGTTGCTTATGGCTTCTGTAGGTTCAACCCCAAGTGTCCCACCAAGGGAAACAGAAGGACATTTTCACATGCTGCTGAGCCCCAATTGTATTGTCCTGAAGGTTCTTCCTCCTGTAGGTTCATATTTGATTTATTTAAGAGGGAAATAAAAGAGGAGGAAATCCTGATCGCCGGCAGCTTCCTTGAGAAAAATTTTGAACAAGGGGTGTGGGAACAGGCCGAGTTCTTAAAAGTTGCAGATTTATAGGAGGCAAGCACATTTTTTCTGATCAATGATCTCTCTCTCTCTTTCTCTCTCTCTTTCTTTCTTTTTTGTAGTACTAGGGATTGAACCCAGAGGCACTCTACTACTGAGCCACCTCTCCAGCTCTTTTTAAAATTTTTTTATTTTGAGACAGGGTCTCACTAAGATGCTGAGGCTGGCCTTGAACTTGCAATCCCACTGCCTTAGCCTCCCAAGCTGCTGGGATTGCAGGTGTGCACCACCATGCCCAGCCTAAAGGATCCCCTTTGTTAGTTCAGGTCTTTGTAGTTTTAAAACACTGTCATTTATATAACCTGTTTTGAAATAGCTGGCAGTAGGTGGCAAAGGGAATTCCTATCCCTATTTTACATAGGAAGTAAGCAAGGTCAGTGGATCTAAGTTATTGCCAGAGGTTACACAGCTGGTCGATTGCAGGCATGTGACTCAGAACTTCTAACCTACCTCCTTTCTCTTTGATGGGGGCTTTCCCATTTGTCATGTTGAAAATACCCCTAAAAGGAGGAAAGGGAGGATTGTGTGTGTGTTAGAGGAGGATGGGAAGTTAAAAAAACAGTAGGTCCAGAGAAGTAGGAATGTTTAATTAAAATTCAGACCATCAGGTGGTTCCATATGAGAAGCAAGAGTAGGGAGCATAAACCTCCACCTAACCAAGGGTAGTAACTCAAGGGGAAATGAGGAATCAGACTCATGGCAGAGGCTGTGGAGGGGTACAGGCAAGGGCATGAGCTTTGCCTTTGAGGACTTTGTGGTAGGAGTTGAAATTCCAGGTCCAAAGGAACTGATAAAAGCAGATGGATTGCTGCCATAGGGACAGGAAGAGAGGTGACACTTTTCCTGCTCACCATGGAGAGTCATGGCTGAAACCTCTTTAACATTAGATAGGCTAACAAGAGAAAAGTGTAACAAATTTATTCTGTATCATTTTATATGACACAGACCTTTCAGATTGAAGACCAGAGGTGCCATGGGTAAACTATGCATTCTCAATCTTAAGTTTAGTAAAGCATGGACAGTCATGTCCATATGATAGGAGCTGGGTACCAGGGTGCACACCTGTAATCCTAGCTACTCAGGAGGCTGAGGCAGGAGGATCACAAATTTAAGGCCAGCCTGGTCAACTTAGCAAAACCCTGCCTCAAAATAAAAGTGGTTGAGTGCCCCTGGGTTTGTTCTCCAGTCCTGGGTGGTGGGGAAGATTGGGCCAAAAAAGGGGGGGGGGGTGCAGTCTAATAATGGGAGAGCATGAGATCCAGCCAGACCTGTCTATTCCAATTCTTCTTGGCCTCTGTGTAGCATTCCTTCCTTTCTGGTATGGGGTCTTATGACCTACTGTCATAAGGTAAGTCAAAGAATTTCTTCCTGTCCAGCAAGGAGCGGGGAGCTAGAGTAGTATTTTTTAAGGTCTTATGAATGACTTTGGGGAAAAGGGATTCTGGTTTCTTTGACTGGCTTTGGGGAAGAGGTTTGTTGTTGTTGTTTTGTTTTGTTTTAAAGAGACAGGGTCTCACCATATTGCCCAGGCTGACTCTGAACTCCTGGGCTCCAGAGATCCTTCTCTAGCCTCAGTCTCCTGGAGTACCTGTCCACACTAGATAATCTGGGTGAAAAGAAATTCTAGTTTTCTTGGCTTGCCTGGGGATGGGTGGTGAGATGAAGGGTGAGATATAAGAGGAAAGGAAAAGATCAGGGAAAAACTTTGCTTTTGAGGCTGCTTCTAAGACCTTCACCTGGTGGGGATCATTTTCTGAACCCCAGCATTGGTAATCAATCCTGGTCACTTGTGGCTGCCCAGCCTAAATTACCAGTCTGGACAACGCCTTTGAAGAAGAAAGGCCTTCCCTGCCTGTGAGCAAGCCAGGAAAGCTTAAAGTGCTAAGCCTTGGGCTGTAATGAGCTCTGTGGGCAATGATCCTTTATGTTGCTGTTCAAACCAGTTTGAGCTAAGACAGAATGTTTGGGTTCTTGCAACTAAAAAAATCCAAGTAGAGCTGGTTTCAGGTGCATTGGCTTAAAAAATACCAGCGAGGCCCTGTTTTCTCCTCTGCCTTCCACAGAGTTGCCTTCATCCCCCGGGAGCCTCTTGGCCTGGGTTCTCCTATTTCTAAAATGATTGCATTCATTCCAGTCTTCACACCAGCATCCAACACTGTTCCAGCAAAAGACCCTTAGCCAGCTCAGAAGAGGAAGGAAGCAGCTCTTCCCCCCTACCCCAGCAAGCATCTGCTGGCTTCTTGTTGCCTCTGTTTGATTGGCTTGACCACGAATTAGGACCCTCCCTGGAGTGAGGGAGGGGCCAAATTTACCAAACTTTCACATTAAAATATAAGCAGCAGCCAGGCAAGTGCCTGTAATCCCAGTGATTTGGGAGGCTGAGGCAGGAGGATCACAAGTTCAAAGCCAGCCTGGGAAACTTTGCAAGACCTAGTCTCAAAAAATAAAAAGAGGGCTGGGGGTGTAGTTTGGTGAATACAATCCATGAATACAATCCCCAATACCAAAAAAATAAATAAATAAAATAAAATAAAATGTGACAAGCAGCTTTTAAAAGGAAATTTAGGGGCACTTTTCCTAGAAAGAAAGGCAATGTCTCAGTCCTCCATATCTGCTAAAGAAATAGGGAAAGAAATCTTCCTGGGTAGGCAGAGGAGTAACTGTTCCTCCTGATGGCTGCAGGTCGCCGTCTCCAATCTCAGCGAGGCTGTGCAGGATGCAGACCTGCTGGTGTTTGTCATCCCCCACCAGTTCATTCACAAAATCTGCGATGAGATCACTGGCAGAGTACCCAAGAAAGCACTGGGGATCACCCTCATCAAGGTAACTGGTGAGCACACCGGGCAGGAAACTCGCGGCTAGACATTGGTTCCCGGGAGATCCCTTTCCCTCTTTGATGTGCTTGAGATGGAGGGAGGGTGGTGGCAGTTTTTAGTTTTTTTGTTTGCATTTTAAAAGATGCCTAAAAGGTGATTTTAAAAAATAAAGCATACCTAGGAAGCCTAGTTTAGGCCAACTTCAAGTGCAAGGCTGCTTTTCTATGGTAGCAGGTGAGCAGCAGAGTGACATGAGGATGGCTGCCCTGATGAGCCCTACTGTCAACCTGTAGCCCACTCTGGAGCTCAGCCTGCATCTGGGAGTCACCACTTTGCATTAGCTGGGAAATTGAATTGAATGGGAAATACCATTCCTGGGTATATGTCTTAAAGAAGGTTTTGTTTTTTTGTTTTTTTTTAATCAGAAGTTCTCAAACCACCCTCAGAGCTTCATGCATTTAATGGTAGAAAGAAAACCTTATATTTTTATTCACTTTAACCTCTAACTGAAATGGACATTTAGAAACACAGCCAGTGTTTCAATAACAATATATTCGCAGGACCTATGACCCTGTTGTCTGTTGAAGGGATTTTCACATCACTTTACAACAGTTTCAAATCTCAAGATGTTATTTATGCTTGTTGCTTCTTGGAAATTATAATAATAATTATTTGATCTGTCCTGACATCTTTTTCTAAGTATGGTCATAAAACAGTGCATATATTACTTGATCACAAATTTGGAGTTTCACAAAAAAAATTTTGATAACTATCTTAATATAATTGGCTCCCTAGGTAATCTTATATATTTTGTTTTTATGCATGGGAAATTTTAAAGATGAGTTTGTAAATTTCACCACACCACTAGAGGTGGAGTCCAGGACATTAAAAAAAGTCATGAACTCCCTAAAGTGACTGTACCAGAATGTCCATAGGTGAATGTTTCTGAAAGTAAACTGAAGTAGCCCACATGTCAATCAGCAATAGAGTGGATAAATGAATGGTGAACTATTCACAATTGGAACTATTGGAATACTATGTCGCAGTGAACAGAAGTGAACCAGAACCTTCATGTAGACACCTGGGTAAATCTCTAAAATAAGAATGTAGCACAAAACAGCATATCCCAGGTGAACGGTGCAATTCCATTTATAGGCTTTCGAAAGGAGGCATAAGGGCATAAAATTGCTTAGGGCAGTTATGTGTGACAAAGTGATGAGGAGAAGCAAGAGCAGTGCCTACAGCATCAGGGTGGTGGTTCAGTCTAGGGGAGGGGAGGGTGAAGGCAGAGACACGATTTTTGGTCATGTTCTAGTCTATTCTTTCTTTGTTTCTTTCTTTTTTTTTTTTTGTGGTGCTGGGAGTCGATCATGTTCTATTTCTTAACCTGAGTGGTGGAGACAGGTTTGTGTTACTCCCTTCAGCTTACTATTCTTTAAGCAATACATATGCAGTCTGTACATTTTCTCTTGTAATTAAGAGAGATTTTTCAAGTCATGCATACCATTGGTAATCTGAATCTAGATGACTTATAAAGCAATGACTCAAGCCTCTTTGATTTGGTGGTTCCCCTACTAACTTCTTGACATCCTCGTAGGGCATAGACGAGGGCCCCGAGGGACTGAAACTCATTTCTGACATCATCCGGGAGAAGATGGGCATTGACATCAGTGTGCTGATGGGCGCCAACATTGCCAGCGAGGTGGCTGCGGAGAAGTTCTGTGAGACCACCATTGGTAAGGGCTGCCCAAGGAAGGGCCCCAGGAGCCAGGCATTTGGTGCTTGAGCATGTCCATTTCCGTTTCTGGTGTTTTCTATAGTGGACTCTTCTCTGCCCCTCTTTATCCCTATGCTGGACATTCAGTGGAGGAGGTTTTATGGAAGGGAGACATTCTGTAGAACTGAAGTCTTTCAACAACTTCCAGAATGTGTGTCAGGCCATGTGACCCCAAAGTTTAGATGTAGAAATACAAGATTGTTGGTACCAAGAAACAGGTGGCTACCATCATGGTGGAGATCTCTTGGGCCTTTGAAACCCAGTTGTTTCTTTGCCCACAAATGCTAGTATCTGGGTCCTTGCTGATTCCAGTAAGAATAACAACAATGACAAATTGGGAATGGTCCTCATTTCCAGGTGAATAAGCCAAGTCTCAGAGAATAAGTTAACTTTCCCCAAGGTCACACTCTAGTATAGAACCCAGGCACAAATTTGGGTCTCCTATGTCCTGAAATAGTGAGCTTTTTCTATTCTTACACATTAGGAAGTGGAGACATTATTATTCACACTCTGGTGTGAAAGTTCTCATTTCCTTTAGAGAGGGCTTTGGGGGTTCTCACGCGCCTGTGGGCCATATTAAAGGATGCATTGTTGGAACAGTAATATTATTGTATTTTTAGAAGCTTATAAAGGTTCAAGTTTTATCTGCCACCACAGAACTTGCTTCTACCCTTGTCAGATGCACTAGTAATGTGATTCATGAGAAAAGGAAGCCTGTGAGAGAGAGGCTGGGCTCTTTTGAATGAGATGGGGCATTGGGAATGTGTAGCTTTAGATTCTCACATGTGTTCATGGGTAGGGCAATTAAAGTTTCATGGCATTTTCCCTTTTATTTTTTGGTGGGGATGGTGGGAGTACTAGGGATTGAACTCAGGGGCACTCGACCACTGAGCCACATCCCCAGCCCTATTTTGTATTTTATTTAGAGATAGGGTCTCACTGAGTTGCTTAGCACCTTGATTTTGCTGAGGCTGGCTTTGAACTCTTGATCCTCCTGCCTCAGCCTCCCAAGCTGCTGATATTATAGGCGTGCACCACTGCCTCCAGGCACCTTTATTTTTTAAAATATAGGTACTTCACTGTATCATTGGGAAAAATAGAGATAATCGAAAGAAAACCATTCTTTATTTTATTTAACTTTCATTTGGTATATGAAAATTATACTTCTATTTTTTCTATTCATGCAAACTATTTATTATGTTTATTGTTAAGTCATATACTGTTTTATTCACTTAATATACAGTTTTTAAAGCCTGTTAATATACATCTTCATAGCTACATCATATTTCATCAACAATTTCATATTTGGATATTTAAAAGTTTTTTGAGCAACATTTTTTGAAGAGCAGAGGTAGCTGAACAGATGAAGAAGTATAGGGAAATTGAAACTTGCCCTCTGAAGGTTTGCTAATCTAGTCTGCTGAAACATACTGGCAATAAATTAACATAAGAAAAAGGATGTGGATGCATTGAACAGCACATACAAAATATAAAACTCAAAAGAAGGGCCAGATGGTTGAGGCTTAAATACCCTCTTTGAAGGGGGAAGGGGTGGTGTGCCAATTTTAGAGAGGGAGTAGGTGATTTTTAGGGGAGAGACTGAGCCCAGAGAACCAACAGAGGTCTGGGATAAAGTTGCCCTGGGCTGTGGGTGTAGAGTTTGATTTTCTGTCTCCTCCTCTGTGATATAAACTTAATCTTCCGTGGTTAATGGCATTTCAGTAAAGAGATTTGAAAGCAACTGTGTTCCTCTTTGGCAGATCCTGTCTTTGGATAGATGAGGGAATTATAGGGAAGCCCTTCCCTGTGTCATTGGTCCCCAGGTCCCTTAACTTTTAAGTCCAAAATGGCGTAGTTTGGGGGTACCATTTTCTAAACCCCAACAGAAGAAGCCAAGAATGGCCTATTCACCTGTGTAGGTATATAGACACAGGTTAAAAAAAAAAAAAAAAGAAAGAAAAATTCAAACAGTATGAGAAAGTGGAAAATAAGAACTAAGATTTTAATTACCCATCAAACACCCTCTTCCCAAAGGGAATTTCTTAGCAGTTTCTAAATATCCTTCCAGAAAATAATTTATTTATACATGTACACTAGTACCTACTAGTATAATTCACTGTCCATATACTTAACTAGTATATGTATGTTTGGTTTATTCTTTCGTAGTTAATTCTATTATCCATCTGCAAATTTAATATAGCCTATGAAATAATGTAATTACTTTTTTCCCCCAAAAAAAGAAAACTGGCTGTTCCAACTCAATCCTATTTGCCAATAAACTTTTCCCAGTTGGTTGGAAATGACTGATTATTCGATTTTTCTATAAGCCTGGGAATTAACTTACAGTCCCTGATTTAAACCTTGTATCCACCTGCATATTTTGGCAGGATGTTCACCTTCCCCAGCTCCCCCTGTCAGCTGGAGGAAAGTTTCTGGCTGGGTGCATGAGGCCTTTTGGTTTGTCAAGACAGACAAATGCTCAGAAGTCACATCTCTTTGCCTTTGTTTTTTATTTGCCTAAGGCTTCTGTCTTCTCTACGGGTTAGACTGTGCCTGACACTAGTGACCCAGTTACCAACCAGTCTGAGCTCAACTAAGCAAAACGTTGGAAGTGAGGTAGAACAGGAAGGTGATATTTTAAAAATTGCTTTATATAACCTAGATTTTAAAATGGGGAAATATCAGACAAGCCCAAAGTAAGCGATGAGTTACAAAACAGCCAGCCCACACTGTTCAAAATGTCAGTGTCGAGACTGGGGCTGTAGCTCAGTGGCAGAGCACTCGCCTAGCACGTGTGAGGCACTGGGTTCGATCCTCAGCACCACAGAAAATAAATAAATAAAGGTATAAAAATAATGTCAATGTTGCAGGTAAATGGATGGAGAATATCGTGCTAAGCAAAGTAATCCAATCCCAAAAACCAAAGGCTGAATGCTCTTTCTGATCAGTGGATGCTAATCTATAATGGGGTGGGAGGGGATGGGAAAAATGGAGGAATTTTGGTTGGGCAAAGGGGAGGGATGGTGGGACATGGTAGCAGGAAAGATGGTGGAATTAGATGGACATCATTACTCGAGGTCCATGTATGACTGTACATATGGTGTGATGCTACATCATGTACAACCAGAGAAATGAAAAGTTTAGTACAATTTTGTACAATGAATTAAAATGCATTCTGCTGTCATATATACCTAATTAAAATTAATTAATTAATTTTAAAAATGTCAATGTCATCAAAGACAATGAAGAGCTAATGGAGTGTCCCAGATTAAGACACTAGAGAGCCATGACAACCACTAGCTGCAGTGCAGGATCCTGAGTGGGACCCTAGGCTGGGAGGGATGGTTGCTGTAAAAAATAGCACTGGTGGGGCTGGGGTTGTGGCTCAGTGGTAGAGCGTTCACCTAGTATGTGTGAGGCCCTGGGTTTGATCCTCAGCACCACATAAAAATAAATAAAATAAAGGTATTGTGTCCAACTACAACTAAAAAATAAATATTTAAATTAAAAAAATAAAAAGACAGCACTGGGTGCGGTGGCACACACCTATAATCCCAGTAGCCCAGGAGATTAAGGCAGGAGGATCATCCATTCAAAGCCAGCCCCAGCAATTAAGTGAGGCCCTAAGCTACTCAGCGAGACCCTGCCTCAAAATAAAATATAAAAAAAGGGGGATGTGGCTCAGTGGTTAAGTGCCTCTAGGTTCAACTCCTGGTACCAAAAGAAAAAAAGAAAAAGCACTGAGTGGTTGGTAAGACTTGAATATGGATTAGATAGTATCATATCAACAGTGACTTCCACGTATCTGATAATTGTACTGTGATTCTCCAGATATCCTTTCTTGATGACCTTTGGGACCAGCTAATTTTTAAATATGGTAGATTCAGAAATCTTGACCCACTGTGTCTTCTGTCAGGAAGAAGACAAATGGCATAATTTTGAGTGTCTTAGATGTTCTGTCATGGTGAGTGATGGTGCCCCCTTGTGGTAAGAGCTCCCTTTGCTCTTGGGGGTTTACCTTTAAAATTTGAGACTTCTCATTCCACAAAGGTTTTTCAAAGCCTATTATGTATCAGGCCCAGGAACATATCCAGGAAACAGGAACTTCCCAGCAAACAAACCTGAAATTGTAGGCAGAAATGAGGGTTTGGAGGGAGTTTTATTAAATCAGTGAATGATCTCTACAACTTGGTGTGACCGAGGATTTTCCTGTCTTTTGGTTTATGTTCAATTTTGGGGCAGCCCCTCACATGGCTCTTGGGTACTGCCTGTACTGTATAGGTGGCCTGGGTCCCTGCTTGCCACATGTGACTGGTAATAATAATAAAGTTAGTGCTTCCTTATTCATAATTAAAATAATAAATTTTAAAATGTACATTTGAGAAAATGTGAGGGTGCCGTAAGTCAAGCCCATCTCTGATAGATACCTTTACCCATAGCCACAGAGGAGCCCACAGCCCCTGCCCATATGCATGGCAAACAGAGAGCTCACTTCTTTCTGCCCATTCCTCAGGTTGCTCTCAGCCGCAACTCAGGCTTCCAGCTGCAGACAGCTGGATGAAAGTGACTTGAGAAGGGCTCATCTGTGGTGCTCATGAGCATCCCTCCCATTGAGCAGAGGTGTATGGTGAGGTAGTAGAGAGGCGGAGGTAATATGCTATGGTGCCAGGGCTGGTTTACCAACCACATAATGAAATAGTGTTGCACAGAATCATCTAGAAGGCCTGGTGGACTGTCCAAAAAGAGGAAGAGGACAGCTTGCTCAAACTGGCACAGTGACAATATATGAAAAAGGCAAAATTGGCTGAATAATCGATAACAGTAATGCCTGTAGAATAGAAAATGGATTTCCATCTATCAGATGTCGGCGTTTTAAATGTTTTATTATGGAACATTAAAAAAAAAAAAAGATAGGAAGAACAATACCATGAACCCAATGTACCCATCACTCATCTTCAGAATGATTGATTCCTGGCCAGTCTTATTTCATCTGCATCCCATCCTCTCTCTATCTACCTCCCCTGGATGACTTTTACATTGTATCCCTTCTAACTGTAATTTTAATTGTTTGACACCTGCGTTTTTTTTCCTGCCTTGGAGGTGTAGAGGTCTGATTGTGATGTTTGTTTGTCGCTCATCTTCTCTCTTCCCACACCTCAGATGTGGCATAGCATAGAGTTGGAGCTTGGGCCCCAGAGCCAGAGCAGCATATGGGTTAGAATTTAGGCTGTCTTCTACTAGCTGGGTGACCATGGCAAGTTGGTAAACCCCCTTGGGCCTTTGTTTCCCTGTCTGTCAATGTAGAAGAGAATGATCATAACCATGCAAAGTCAGCTGACTCCATAATCATCTTATGTGATCTTTGAGTGTTGTTACAACCACGGCAGTTTTCATATGTGATTCTTCGCCACCATCCTGAGAGTGCCGTAGCTAGAAGAGGCTATATCAAAGGGTGGCAAACTTGTTTTCCTGTTGGAATGATCTAGGGAGCCTCAAAAATTATGGATGCCTGCTCCACTCCAGAGATTGTGATTTAATTGGTCTAAGATGTGGCCTGGGCGCTGGAGTTATTAAAGATCCTGAGGTGACTATAATGTGCAAGCAAGCTTGGGAACTGCTAGGCTTCTGCCTCGAGGCAGGCAGAACCCAAGTGCCCTAGTCCTCAGCATGCTTTCTGCCAACTGTGTGGAGTCTTTGACTTGGAAACTGGAACTTGATTGGCAAGTCTTTTGATTCTAATTTCAGAGGACCAGGGGAGGGTGGATTTAGTGAGTCCCACCTGCACCCCACCAGCCAGAGCAGGTTTCACGTGAAGCTTTAGGTGTAAGATTTTAGTTTTGTTTTGCTTTTTACTCATAGGTCTCCAAAACAAGTAAATAAAGACAAGCATATGAAAACCACTGAACTTTCTGCACAGTCCAGGAACTATCCCAAAGGAAGAGAGTATAGCAGGAACAAAAACAAGTACTCTTTGACTGCATTCCCATCTTCCAAAATTTAGGGGAACCATTTGTGTGTGTGTGTGTGTGTGTGTGTGTGTGCGTGCGCGCGCACACATGCACGCACCCTCATTTGATACTAAGAATTGAATCCAGGGGTGCTTTACCACTGAGCTACATCCCCAGCCCTTTTTGTTGTGAGACAAGATTTCTCTAAGTGCTGAGACTGTCCTCCAAATTTCGATCCTCCTGCCTCAGTCTCCCAAATCTCTGGCATGCGCCACTGTACGCAGCAGAGAAAACAGATTTTAAAACCCATAAATGTTACAAACCCAATTTTTTTGGTGGGGAGGATTGGGGGACAGTACTGGGGATTGAGCTCAGGGGCACTCAACCACTGAGCCACATTCCCAGCCCTATTTTGTATTTTATTTAGAAACCAGGTTTTACTGAGTTGCTTAGTACCTCACTTTTTCGCTGAGGCTGGCTTTGAACTCACAATCCTCCTGCCTCAGCTTCCTGATCCACTGGGATTACAGACATGCGCCACTGTGCCTGGCTACATACCTAATTTTGAGAAAAACTCTATTGATATTCAATAAATTAAAGTTGTATGTCAAATTGTAAATGATGCTGGGGAATTACGGAATGTCTATTTTCTATTTCTGCTCCTATGCATTTTCTAAATTGTTTTGTGATCAACATGTTACTTTTATAATAACAGTCAAGGTTTTAACCACTATCAGGTATGAAGCTGAAGATTAGAGATTGTTCCTAATTTCTTTTTTCCCTAACTTTTCAATAGGCAGCAAAGTCATGGAGAACGGCCTTCTCTTCAAAGAACTTCTGCAAACCCCCAATTTCCGAATAACTGTGGTCGATGATGCAGACACGGTTGAACTTTGTGGTGCTCTTAAGGTAAAGTCGGCCTTGTCATTCGCCCCAAGGAGAGGAGTTATTTGCCCAGGTTTGCATTATGGAATCTCACCCTGAAAAATGGGCTCTGTGTTTTTTGCATTCTTCGGTGAAGAATGGTGAATTGAGCCTTGTTTATAACTTCCTGTTTTGCTGTTCCTGTTCCTCACTTATTCAGGGTTTGCTTTTACTTGTGTATATGGGGAATTGGGATGCTTTGTTGTCTGGGGTTGGTCACATTCCCCTTTGGCTTTCCTGGGGTCTCACCCAGTAGCAGGTGATTCCATTCATTCCTCTGTTTTGCCTGTTACCTTAAGCAGGAAATGGAACTTGCTCCCCCCTGAATTCTGGGCTCTACTGGTTTGGTGGTTTGGCTGGTTGTTCTTTTCCAAGGGGGGGGAAAAATAGTCTGCTATTGAGAAGTTTTTTTCTGAGAATAGTTTTATCATTGCCCTTGAGAGAGAAAAGATCCCAGTTAAAGAAACAACCTCAATTGGCCAGTGACTAGGGAGTGTCAGAGACAAAAATTACAACAAATTTAGTGATAGACACAAAAATTACAACAAATTTAGTGATAGACCCATGGGGTTACGTTTGATTCATGCATTGGGGCAGCCAACAATATTCTACAAAATAGCAAGTGCTCCCACAGAGCCGCAGTGGAACAGTGGGCTTTTGTAAGGTGGACACAGAACAGTAGGAAAAAAGCTAGATTGAGCAACAACAGGTTACTTACTTTAGGTTTCTTTTTGTAAGTTTTAAAACAGAGATGGCTTCCTCCTGTTTTCAGTGGGGGGAAAATGGGTCTGTTTTGGGATCTCTCTCCTTCAATTTTCAGTTTGGTGAAGTGGCATTTAGCACATCCCCAGCCATTTTTGATGTGGAACAGGATTTCCATTTTAGTTTGGCCTGGTCTGTGGGGCCTAGTGCAGGAGTTCAGTCCAAAACAATTTTTAAAGTAACAAGAGGTAAAGGAAAAAAGGTCCACACCTGGGCTCCAGACTAGCCCACTACTGCCTTTGAAACCTAGGTCATGATATCTTTCTGTCCTGACCTTAGGAAACAGCCAGGAGGCAGCTAACACTTCAGGTTATACCAAAAGAAAAAGTAAAAAAAAAAAAGAGTTCTCAGTATGAATACCCTATTTGGTTCACTTTTTCTTTTTCTTGCAGTACTGGTAATTGAACCCAGGGGTCACTCTACCACTGAGCTACATCACCAATCCTTCCAGGATTTTTTTCTTTCTTTTTTATTTTTTGGACACATGGGTCTCCCCAGGTGGCTGAGGCTGGCCTCAAACTTGCCATTCTCCTGCTTCAGCCTCCCTGATTGCTGGGGTTAGAGGTGTGCACTACCATGCCCAGCTTGCTTCCAAGTCGTCTCTCTCTTTCTAGAATGAATATTGTGTGTGTCTGCATCGTCACAATATACAATGAGCATTTAAAAAATTAAAACCAATTACAGACTTGGGCTCCCAGGCAGCACACTTACACATTTCTAAATGCGTCCATATTTCTAAATGAATGTGTGGGTATTCTTCCCATTATGTGCAGGCCCTGTTACTCATTTAAGATGCTGGCTTCAGATGCTTTGTTTATTTTTGTTGCTTGGGATTTTTATGTGTTTTTAATAGTCCCCCATTAAGCTAATGACCACTTGACAGCAGCAGGGGGCATCATGAATGCCTAATTACTCAGCACTGGCCAGAGTTCCAGAGCTGTTTTTGAGTGACTGGATGTTTTTGGTGGTCAATGGAGAAGCTGTGAAATCCTAATCAGTACAGAGAGTGCTGGATGAAAAGATTCTAGATTGAGGGTTCTGGAAAAGCTTCTGCTAATGGGAGCCCTTGCTGGCCTTGTGTGTGAACTTAGAATGACTTTTCATTTTTCCTGGCAGGAAGCCTGTAAGTGGATTTGTTCTTGTTACCATGACAGAAGGTGATTGATGGGGTGGAGGCAGGCAGAGCTTGAGGGCCACTTACTGGTGGTTCCCCCTCGAGTACTCTTTGAAAGGAGATTAGCTACCCTCATTCCTATGGTCCTGCATTAAAGTTGGTATTCTTTTTTTTAAATGAAAAATAGATCCTCTGGCAGTTATTGCGTCTAACCATTGTATCATACAGATAAGGAGATCAAGACCAAAGGAGTGAATGACTGGAGAGTGGCAAATATTGGCACAGTTGGAGTCAACATAGGTTTTGAGAACCATAGTCCTGTGTTCTCTGGTTACTATGTACAACTTGACTTTTCTGATTCGTATCTAAGGACTGTAAATAAAATGAAGCCCTCCTCCATCAGAACGGCCAAAGCAAAATGATGACCATGTGTTGCTCTTATTGTGTAAATAGGAGTTCTCTTGGGTTTTTCTGATGATGAAAGTAGTCATATTCATTCTGTCTCTTACAACAGATAGGTAGAGAGAAGAAAGTTGAAATCCCCCTGCTTCAGTCTTCTGAGTAGCTGGAATTACATATGTGTACCAATGGACCCGGCAGTACATAATCATTTTTGCACACAAAACCATGAGGTCATTTAACTTACTGAAAAACAAAAATAGAAACGTTAAAAGCACTCCCTATGTGGATAAAATGAAAAGAAAGTTCAAAGGGGCACAATATCTTTATTTTGTTTATTTATTTTATGTGGTGCTGAGGATAGAATCCAGGGTCTCACACATGAGAGGCGAGTGCTCTACCGCTGAGCCACAACCCCAGCCCCTGAACATATTCTTTAAAAAAAAAAAAAATTAACTTTATATAAATGGCATCTGTTTTGACAGTGAATATTATCGAAAGACAAAATGACAACAAATTTAGTTATAAGTCTAACTGGCTTTCTTTTGTGATTCATGAATATGGGCAGCCTCCATTCTACAAAATACCATGAGCTTCCAGGCGCAGGGCAGTGGGTTTTATAGGTCAAAACAAATAAACAGATCAACAGGGAGAAACCTGATTGGTTAACATCAGGTCACTTCAGGTTTCTTGTTTTTAAGAGTCAAAGCAGAGGCCAGGTATGATGGCACATGCCTGTAATCCCAATGGCTTGGGAGGCTGAGGCCGGAGGATCACAGGTTCAAAGCCAGCCTCAGCAACTTAGTGAGGCTCTAAGCAACTTAGCGAGATCCTGTCTCAAAATAAAAAAAAAAAATTTTAAAAAGGGCTGGGGATGTGCATGTTCAATGGTTAAATGCCTCTGGGTTCAATCCCTAGTTACCCCTCCCCCCCCAAAAAAAAAAGTTAAAGCCGAGAAATCTCCTGTTTTCAGGGGGGAAACTTTTTTGTTTCAGTTTGATGAAGTGGCATTTAGCATGAGTGACTCTATTTTGGTTTGCTCTGGTCTTTGGGGACCTAGTGCAGGAGATCAGTCCAAAACCATGGCCTCTCCTGACTATTTTTATGGTAGATTTGTACACAACAGAGCATTTCCATTCACCCCAGACAATACCATGTGTAGTCCCCACTGCCACACTTCCCGCCAGGCACCATTAATCTGCTTTTATACACTATAGTTTTACATTTTCTAGAATTTTTATAAGTGGAGTCATACAGTATTTATTCTTCTATGTCTGTCTTCTTTTCTTGGGCTGTAAATTTTAAGAAGTACTAATACAGAGAAGTACAAAACTCATAAGTGTGTAGCCGCTTTATCAGGTCGCAGATGAAACTTATAAAAGAGACGCAAAATAATAGTGGCTGAGCAAGGTAGAAGGTTTTCTTTCTTTCTTAATATAAACATCTAGAATTCACATGACCAGCTCTCTCCATAGAATCCTAAGGGACCCAGGCTCTTTCAGCCTCCCTGGCATATGGTCTTTGTCCTCATGTTCTAAAAGGGTGACTCTGTTACTCTGGAAGAAGAGAATAGATTGGGATAAGCCAGCCAACTGTGCCACGGATTCGTGGGTTCCTCCGTGTGGCTCTTCTGTGGTTCTGACTGTGGTGCATGGAGGTTGCTCCAGGGCACTGGCCGTGACGCACCGTGCTCGGCCTTGTGCCTGGTCTCCAGTCAGGGCCCGTCTAGACCCAGCCAGGCCTTTGTGTGAATGAGCAAAGTCTGCACAGTTCAGCAGGGTGGCTGCTAGCCATATGTGGAGATTTAGGTTTATATTCAAATTAAGTAATAATTTTTCCATAGAAAGCAATTTATTTGTTGCTTTTAGAACAAATGAAGATGCTGTCATAGCTTTATTTATTTATTTATTTTTTATTTTTTTTTGGTGAAGAAAGTGCTTTTGGCAAGGCATATGGATACATACCTATATTCCCAGCTAACTGAGGAAACTGAGGCTGGAGACCAACCTGGGGAACTTAGCAAGACCCTGTTGCAAAATAAAATTTTAACAAATGATTAAGATGCACTTGCCTAGTGGTAAATAGTGGTGGAGCGTTTACCTAGCAAGGCCCTGGGTTTGATCCCTAGCACTGCAAAAAAAAAAAAAAAGTTTTAGAACTTTTCTAAAATATTATTTTGTCAGCTGAGGAAGTAAGCATTCAGTATAGAAAACTACCCAGAGGCGAATTCCTGAGCTGGATGACAGGAGTCACAGCTGTGTGGTCAGCTGTCCCTCTGGCCCGGGTACTGCCTTGCAGCAGGGCTTTTGCTGGTGGCTGACATGCTGTCAGGTGTGCCTTCCTTGCCGTAGAATTCCCTGTCTAGCACCTACTCTGGACTCCTTTTCACCACCCCCTGCCTGGCAGTCCTGTCCGGGACCTTCTCATTAGTGACCCTGGACTCCTGGCCTCACCTCCATCCTCCTCTGGCCTCCATCTCCATTCAGCTCCTCGGGCAGAAAGGGTGAAGGCCAGAAACAGGCAGCGGTAGAACTTCTGCTTTGGCGCTGTGGGGTGGTCCAGCACCACGTTACAGGTGAAGTCATTCTGCGTGACCTGGGTTGTCATCAGCTACAACTCCTCTGAATTCTCAGGGTACAGTGGCAAGACAGCTTGATGGAGCTCCAGGTGCAGGTGCTTGGCAGGGATTTGAACTTCCTGTCCGCATTACAGAGCTGTTCACAGCAGAGTGTGCATACGAGCAACACAGGACCTGTTCTGAGGCGATGCCATGGCCCATGTCTCCCAAACATAGGTCTCATCCACATCAGTCCATGCCCCACCGAGCATGGAAGGCCTGATGTTGATAGCCAATCCCACAGCGTTCCTTCTCTGGGAGGTGATCTCTACTCAGCCCAGGAGCTGCAGCTGATGAGGTGCCCTGGAACTTCTCCAGCCACCTTAGCCTGGGCACAAGTCCTCTGTGAGTTGCAACTATATCTCTGGCCTTCCTTCTTGTGGGGGTGCACTGCACTCAGAACTCCAACAGCGGCTCACTGTCCTCATTCCTCCACTTAAAAGTTTTCAAACTTAAAAATTCAGTTTGTGTCACAGTAGCCACATGGCAAAGGCTCAGTGGCCCCATGTGGCTAGTGGTGACTGTATTGGGTAGAGCAGATATAAAACGTGATGTCATTGCTGAAACTTCTCTTGGACACTGCTGCTCTAGCTAAGGCAGCTTCATCTCAGGGTGCTTGCCTTGGCCCTGGCTAAGCATGGGGCTGACCTTGGCCTTCCTGGACACCTTGGCCTGGCTACCTTATACAGGGCCCAACCTGCAAACAGCTTGCGTTTAGTAAGCCCACACTCTGCCCGCGGGGTCCTCTGAGGTCAGGTGCTTCAGGAGCTAGCCTTAGGAAGAATCAGATGGATTGTTGGACTTACAGAAAATAGTGGATACTGATCCGGCTTTCCGTGGGGTGATTCTTCTTAGGTGGGAGAGTGTCTGCAAAGCTGCAGGCATCTGACCAGCTCTCTGGTTTTCCATTCTTTTTGTGGGACGATGGCCATGGAAGAGGCCCAGGGCCTGTCCAACCTACCCCAATTCAGAATTGCAAAAACTGTACTTCAAGGTGAATGATTGCCCGAGTTCTGCCATAACCCAGGAAACGGAGACGGGCTTAAGCACGTCTGTCTTCTGAAAGTCCTGGTATTTTTAGCTGCAGATAGTTTAAAGCAGATTTAAATGCACAGTGGGTAATGATAACTTTCACAGCTGAGCGATCTCGGAGGACATCTGCTCGCATGCTATTCAAACACAGGATCTCACTGGTTCAGTGTGTTTATTTTTCTTGTGATAAGTGGTGGCAGGAGAGGGCAAAGATTTCAAGAGGCCTCGTAAAGCAATTAAAGTGGGTGGGAGCCCAGGTCCCCTGCTTCCCTTGATGGGAAGGTTAGTTATCTAGTGGAATCTTCTAGATGGTCCAGACCCATGTGCCCTGTGGTGAAGGGGTCACAGAGGGGCTGCAGGCCCCCAGGTCCCCTCATCTGCTTGTTCTCCTAGTGCAGTTGGGCTGGTTGGGCTCAGCCTCTGCCCATACAGTGCTGCTTGGAAAGAGCTCTCCCAGTGACAGAGACTCCTGCCAAGTCTTCGGTTGAGTGGGCCAGCTCTTCCTGTTAGAAAGTTCTTACCTGAACTCCTAGGTGGCCTCTCTGTTCCCTTTACTCACTGCCCCCCTGGGCAGGGCGTCTCCTGTGTCTCCTCCTGATAGCTGTTTGCCATGGGCCTCAGTTGCTTCAGCTCTCACTGAGCATGATAATAGGACCTGTCTTGCAGGACTGTTAGATTTAGAGGGGTTAATGATATGGGAAGCTCTAAAAAGTCAGTAAGGTTAGCAGTTGCCATTCTTTCTGTTTTTCCTGGTAAGTCTTTTCTCCTGAGCTGTCCTGAGCAGGGTGCGGGGGCAACTCCCCCTAGACACGGAAGTGCAGAGGGGGAGGAAGGTCTCTCTGACCCTGGGAGGAGGGAGTGTCCCACGCTGTGGAAGCAGTGAGGCACAAGGGACAGAGTGGGCCTGTGAACCAGGTCCCTGGAGCGTGCTCTGACTCCTTCTCTCGCCAGGGAGGTATTCTTGGCAAGCTAGGGAGCCTCTCTGAGCCTGGATTGTGCCAGACAGGAAATGGGAGGATAGGTACACACTTCAGAGTCATCAGGGAATTTAAGATGAGACTGCAGGCAAAGAGCCTGGTGCAACTCACTGTAGGCACTCCATAAATAATTCCCCTGCCCTCCTGTCTGCAGGAGCCCTGGGTTAGATGAAGTCTCTCCTACCTTCCATTCAGCCCATCGATGTTTCCTAGGGTGGGTTTGTCAGGTATCCGTGACAGAATGGGTTCCAGTGATTGGGATGTGGTGCAGGAAGCATCTAAGAATAGTTTCTCTGGTCTAACCACTAGGCTAACTACCCCTATCCTAAGCCTCAGCCCATTGCCTTGATAACTTTAATAAAGCCATTGGGCCTGCCTATCCACACTGGCCTTGGAGCTTCTGCTGTGAGTGCCCCTGCCTGTCCTGGTGTCACCTCATTGCTCCAGTGTTCTCCCACTGCCTGCAGCCCCAGGGTAAGGCTACCAGTGCTTCAGTTCTCCCCATTTTTCACCTCATCACTCAGAATCAATGGGTCACGTGTTTTAAGAAAATGTTATTTTTACCAGGTCCAGTGGCACACACCTGTAATCCCAGTAATTTCAGAGGCTGAGGCAAAAGCATTGCAAGTTCGAGGTCAGCCTCAGCAACTTATCAAGGTCCCAAGGAACTTAGCAAGACCCTATCCCAAAATAAAAAGGGCCAGGGATGTAGTTCACGGGTAAAGCACCTCCTGGGTTCAATCCCCAAATTAAAAAAAAAAAAAAAAGTATTCTTTTGTTAATAAAATATAGGTTCTTTGAAGGAAAAAAAAGCACACATTTTTATTTATTTCCCTTTAGTTAGCAACTTACTTCGTAGTTTTTGTTTTCGGTTGATTTGTTTTGTCTGCAGTACTGGGTGCCTGCATGCTGGGTAACTGCCCTACCACTGAGCTATATCCCCAACCCTCTTCATTTTGAGATAGGGTCTCTCAATAAATTGCTGCGGCTGACCTCAAACTTACAGTTCTCTTGCTTTAGCCTCCTGAGTAGCAACGATTGCAGACAGCACCACTGAATGCCCAGCTTGCCTTATGTTTTAAGATCTTCTAAGGCACAAATACCTAAATAATCATGAGGAATTACTGAGAAACACGAGTGCAGTTAGATAGAGTCAAAAATGCTTGTCTGTTCCTGGCAAGGAAAAAGGAAGTAGGAAAGTGGACGGGGCCGGGAGCCAGGGAGCGATACTTTGCACATGCGGTATTTTTCCTGTGTTGTCAAGGGTTGGCAAACATTTTCCATAAGGGCCAGATAGTAGATGTCTAAGCGTTGTGGACCTTGGACTCTGGGGCTCTGTCGTGACTTCGCATGTGCTCTGGCAACACAAACAACCACAGGCAGTGTGTGGATGAGGGGGTGTGACTGTGTTCCCTGGGGATCAGTGTTTGCAAACACTCAATGGCAGAGTGCTTGCCTTGCATATGTGAGGCACTGGGTTGGATCCTCAGCACCACATAAAAATAAAATAAAGGTATTATGTCCATCTACAACTAAAAAAAAAAATTGAAAAACTTAAAACAAAAAAACAAAACAACAACAACAACAAAAAACTAGCAGTTGGCTCTTAGGTTGCCAACCCCCAAACCAGATTATCAACTTTGGAAGAGGAGGGCTCGTGTCTGATTTGCCTTGTGTCTGTCAGGCATGCAGAGAGTGAATGTTACATGAGCCTTTGTTTAGAGATTATTAAATGAAACAAAACACCGAAACTCCAGTTGCACTTGTGTGGACCTGGTCAATTTCCATGCCATACCAAGAGAATTGCCTGTGTGTAGCCACCAAGGGATGCATACCACAGTGTGTGTCCCTAGTGGCAACACTTGTAATGGCCCCAAGCTGCAACTTACTCCAGTGCCCACTGACAGAAGAAAGAATAAATTACAGTACTCTCAAACGATGGAATGCGATGCAACAATTTAAATAAGTTTGCTATGTGTAAAAATATGAATGAATTTCGCAACTGTGGTATGGAATTGAGACAATGAATCCAGATGTACAAGACTGGATTCTATATGATTCCATTCATAGAATAGTTTTAAACTCATTTATTTTTTTATTGGTACCAGGGGTGCTTACCACTGAGCCACTGAGCCACATCCCAGCACTTTTTAAAACATTTTGAGACCGAGTCTGGATAAGTTGCTTAGGGCCTTGCTAAGTTGCTAAGGCTGGCTCTGAACTTGGGCACCTCCTGCCTCAGCCTCCCCAGCCACTGGGGTTACAGGTGTTCACTACTATACCCAGCTCATAGAATAGTTAAAGACAGGTAACAGGAGTCAATGCTGTGAGAGGTGAGAGTGGTCACCTTTGGAGGAGAGCTGGCAGAGGGCTCTCTCTATGGCTCAGGTTGCACTGATTCTGGATCAGGGTCTGGCTACATGGTGTGTTCCGTTTGTGAAAATTCATCAAATTATACACATAGGATTTGTACACTTTTCTGTGTGTGATAATTGGGCAAAGCATTCAGTTTTAATAAAAAGAACTCAAAAGGCCAAGTAGTTTGTCAAACAGACTTTAAGCACAGACTGCTCTCAGGCATTCTGATTTCTGCCTGATGGATACTACTGCACTGCTGCTACGTCCCCACCTGTGGGCTCCTTGTCTTGTAAGGGAGATATAAAAGCTGCTGTTCCTCCTTCACCCTCCCCTCACCCTTTGTGCAGGAGAAGCAGGGCTGAGCATTTTGAGGTGGATCCAGGGTCTCCACTGTCCCCCTCTGCAGCCTCATCTGCAGGGATGCTCTAACAGCAGCCTGGCTTTGTTGTGTCCTTTGCAGAACATTGTGGCCGTGGGAGCTGGGTTCTGCGATGGCCTCCGCTGTGGAGACAACACCAAAGCCGCCGTCATCCGCCTCGGCCTCATGGAAATGATCGCTTTCGCCAGGATCTTCTGCAAGGGCCAGGTGTCCACAGCCACCTTCCTGGAGAGCTGTGGGGTGGCTGACCTGATAACCACCTGCTACGGAGGGCGGAACCGCAGGGTGGCAGAGGCATTCGCCAGAACTGGGAAGGTAGCCCCTCCCCTGCCCTCCCACTCCCACTGGTCCCCCGAACCACCCTACAGAAAGCAGTGACAGCACCTGCTGCATTCTGTGTGCCCTGGCCGCTGTCACTTGACACCTGTGGCCAAGAGAGTCTCTCTGGGCTTACAGCAGGGGATGATAACTCTCCTCCCCACTCTCCTCTTGAAATCAATTGCTCTCTAGTCTTTGCCATAGTTTTTTTTTTTTTTAATCCTTTGCTTTTAAGACCATTGAAGAATTGGAGAAGGAGATGCTGAATGGGCAGAAGCTCCAAGGACCTCAGACTTCTGCTGAAGTATACCGCATCCTCAAACAGAAGGGACTCATGGATAAGTAAGTCTCCCATGGTCTGTGACACTAGCTCTCATGACAGCCAGCCCCTGGCAGATGAGTCCATTTGACAAGTGAACCCAGGACTGTACTGGATTAGTTAGTCCTTTGTGTGGGAGCAGGAAACACCTACCTGCCCCCAAAATAAGTGTTTGCACAAAACCAACTCAACTTCCACGAGACCTCAATTCTATAAGGCGCAGGACAGAGTAGGAAGGTTTAGATTCTGGTTTGTCCTGCAGGGTGATCAGAAAGAACTGCCTGCCGTAAGTTTTAAATTTTTCAACAATGATTACTTGTTTTAAAAAATAAAAAGATAGTTGGTTGTAGTGGTGCATGCCTGTAATCCCAGCAGCTCAGGAATTGAACTCACAATCCTCCTGAGGCCGGAGGATTGTGAGTTCAAAGCCAGCCTCAGCAACTTAGGGAGGCCCTAAGCAACTCAGTAAGACCCTGTCTCTAACTAAAATGTAAAAAAGGGCTGGAGATTGCTCAGTGGTTAAGCCATTTGTACTGGGTTCAATCCCCAGTACAAAAAAAAAAAAAAAAACTATATATATAGATACAGATCAATATAATCATGGGATATAGATAGACAAAGATAGATATAGTCATATGAATAAAATATCAAAGAATTCAGAAAAGAGGGAAGGACAAGTTGTCCCAGCATTGTGCCACTAGAAAGGACCCATGTGAAAGTGCATGCACAGCCTTGCAGTGTCCTTGTCTTGTGACTGGTTGCCTGCTTCCCTCCTCCCCTCCCCTTCCAGCCAGACCTGTGTTAAGGTTGGGCTAGGGTCAGCTGATTGGCCACCTGACTGAGGGAGGAAGTCCTGTAGCACATAAGCTGTCCAGCCTCCCCAGGACCACTGCCTGGCCCCACTGGCCATACAGCCCTTCATCTTGCTGAGTTACTGTGCTTCCCTGTAATTATGATACCAACTACAACACTTTATTCATCAGGTAACTCACCTGATTCTTACAATAGGCCTATGTCTCCAGGTCCATTTTACAGATGAGCAAACTGATTCAGGGTTTGTGAAACTTGCCCAGAGTCCATAGGCTATAGAGTCAGATTTGACAAAGTTTACCTGACTCCAAAAAATAGCATAGGCTTCCATACCTTCCAAAACCTACAGTAATGACTCTCATAAGGACATGTGATACCTCAGTACTGTTTGCTCTTCTTAAATTAAATATTGTCATTATAGGATTCTAGCCAGGTAATTTTCAGAATGGCCTTTAAAACTCTATTAATTCTATTAAGCTCACTTGAGGCTGAGAGTGTGTGTGCGCGCGCGCATGCGCATGCACACCCTGAGATGATGTTACCTTTTCTTAAGTAAATAGAACCAGTTTTTCCACAGGATTATTAGGTTGCTCCTTTATGCCCTCATCCATTTCACACTTTCACTTATATGTGTTCACATCTTGGAGGAAACAGCAAAATAAATCAAGCTTCCAGCGTGAGATCAGGGCTTTGCTAATTGTGGGTCCTCACTTGGATTCTTGCAGGAGTGTTCCAGGCCTGATTTATTTATGGTGATGTGTGGGCAGCCTCATTGTCATCTTGAGATGATCCTTTGGGGAGAAGGGAGAACAATATCTCCTTGCAATTTAAAGTTTATTCTCCAATCTTTTAAAACAGTGACAGGAACTTGGACTCACTCCAGATGTGGGCCAAGATCCTGAGCTACAACTCTTTTCTGTAAATGACCACCATTTACCCCAGGAGGATAACCACGTGAGTTGCGTATCAACAGTACAACCCAGCTTGTTAGGCAGAGAAAAGTCTCATGGTCCTGAGATCTTGTAGCTGCAGTGCTAGGGCTCTGCATTCTTGAGACCAAAGAATAAAGCAATGTGGAAAGTGAGGACTGTGTTTTCCAGAATGGCATATCGATCTGCAGGCTAGTAAGCAGGACAGAAAAACAAATTTGTTCTAGGAGGTAAACCAGATGGCCTAAGCTTGCCTTTCCACATTTCCTCTTGCTCAGGTTTCCATTGTTTACTGCCGTGTATCAGATCTGCTACGAAGGCCGACCTGTCTCAGAGATGCTGTCCTGTCTCCAGAGCCATCCAGAGCACATCTAACGGGAATCACATAACGGGCTGGGGAAAGTCCTGCCTCTCCTATCAGTCTATTGGGTTCATGTGGAAACCAACACTTGGCAACAAGAGATTTGCCCAATCGTGCTCCCAACACGGACATGTATGAATTGTTACAGGTTCGTTTTTTAATTACGAGAGGCAGTTCGTTGGCTCAACTGTACAGGGCAACAACTAAACACACATGTGGGCATGTGTGTTAACTTCTCATTGTGTGGGTGTTTCTACTAATCAATATTATACATCCTTTTTAAAGATCACATTTGAAATTTCCCCACTGTGGTACTCTATAAGATTGGGACTATCTCAGCTAAATTTTTTAGGTGTACTTCATATGTATTTGAGTGGATGAATTATTTTTTTTCTCCTTCTTTTGATGATAAATTTAACCAACATTAAAATGGTTGGTAGGATGAGGAAGGGAATGTGTTCAAAGATCACCGTATTTAACATTTAAACACTATCTCAAACCAGCATAATTAACTTACTTTGATTGTGGGTTGGTGTTTTTTTTTGTTGTTTGTTTGTTTGTGTTTTACAATTAGATAACTTTCAATTAGATAATCCACTTATATACTTCCCCTCAAGTCCCCCAGATCCTCTGAGAGGGTGCTGCTATTATTCCTCTTGAAAGATGCAGTTGCTATACCTGGTCATCTGGGTGTGTGGGAACAGAGCCAGGAATGGAGTGCGCACTCTCTACCTGCCAACATGTGGGACCTTTTAAGATACTACTAGGCTTTTCTGGCCTCCGGCTACTTGGTTGTGGCAAGTGTCCCATGCAACCTTTCCTGAGGTCACAGGAGGACATCCTGACACTGAGATGTGTGGGGGTCAGGGTCTTGATGATTGCCACACCAGGTGTGGTCCACGGTCGGGTAGGATCTGCTTCACTCTTTGGAATCCAGTTTCCCAGGCCCTGCCCTGGACCCCCGAGTGCTATCTCTGCTTCAGTACACCTTCCGTGTGTTTCTGATGCTCACTCTAATTTGAGAACCACTACTTTCAAAAATCTACTTCATCCTGGCCTGTCACACATTGTGTTCCACAGGAAGCAAGCATCCTGGACTCCAGGGGTTGTTCCAGGAGTACAGGAGACCTGGGGGAAGCTGCACACGTCCATCCCTCTTGAAGGTGTAGAATGTATGTTAGTGTCAGGGGAAGCTCTTTGCTTACCCCGGCGAGTCCCAAACACGGTGGGCTTAGGGAGATGTTTTAGCAAAGGAAACTAGCCAAAGTTTCCAGGGAACACTGTTGTAGGCTGAGGTGACTTTAGGACAGCTCGAGTGGATCCTTTGCTCTCTGCAAGCAATGAGCATGAATAGCTACCTGTGGAATTGTGAGTTCTGAACTTTTGCAGTTCAGGTCAGCCATGAATCTTTTATGGAGCTTTAAGGTGACACTGTCGAATACAACAAAGTCTACTTGTCAGCCTCGCTGAAACGCACATTATGTGGGATAAGTGCTTTTAATTTTAGAATTAGAATGGAATGACTGTACCCCTCAAAATGAGATTGGTTTCGGAATACCATTCCACAGTTACCTTATATAGCATTCCATAAGTATTAAAAGAACCTATGAATGTCATTTATATATTCATGAATTTTTAGTTACTTTGTGAGATTTTTTTTTTTGCCCCACCCAACCCCAACCCTAGTTTGAGGGGTTATTTTTCCCTTCTTTCTTTTGTTCTTCTATAACTGAAATGATTGTAGAATTGATTTCCGTGGGAATTCTAAAAGCTATCTAAAACATTTCTGGGGCCTTTTTCAGCCTCATACACAGAAGTACATGGAAGCACACACAGTGCTACAGGTTTCAGCAGTTTTAATGCCGCTGTTAAATCAATTTTGGGGTCTCCTGATAAATCTTTTTTAAAGTTTGTACATAGGTAACAAAGAGTTACTTTTTAAGATATAAAAAGGGCTGTAAGCTAATTGTGGTGTCTACTAAGTAGGATCATGTGCTGGGAAGATTTGGGATTTTGTGTTTTCCCATCTGCATTCAGCCTCCTCTGGGTTTTGAACCTGAATGTTTTTTCTTTCCAAATCCCCTCTTACTGGAGCTGGGCATTATGGCACATGCCTATCATCCCTGCGGCTTGGGAGGCTGAGGCAGGAGGATCATGAGTTCAAAGCCAGCCTCAGCACTTAGCAAGGCCCTAAGCAACTTAGCAAGACCCTATCTCTAAATAAAATGTATAAAAAGGGCTGGGGATGTGGCTCAGTGGTTAAGTGCCTCTGGATATACTCCCTGGTACCAAAAAAAAAAAAATCCCTTCTTACCGCTCTGAATTCTGCTGACCATACCTCTCGAACATACTTATGATAATCTGCACATTATGGGAAAAGGTAAATTTTATATAAGTTTATGCTCTGCTACTTATAGATATTTATTACTCTACGAGTCATCTATTTTTGTAACCACCTGTGGTCCGTCCTTTATTTTAACTCACACTTCTTACCAATGATGGTGATAGGGAGGGAGACACCGAGATTAGGAAAGTTCATTTGTACTATTTCAGCCAATCTGTGAATGTAAAAACTACCCTGTGGCCTTGCTGTGGTCCACCCCACCTGGTGTGGAACAGATGCCTGTCTTGACCCCCACCCTCGGGATGGAGTGGAGCTCACTCTCTGGTTCTTTCCTCTCGCCCTTACCTGCAGCACAGCCCTGTGGGGTCGGCCTGCGGGGGGTGTTCTGGGGAGGTGCCAATTGTGCAAAGGGAACTTGAGTTTTTCCACTGGTTCTGATCTGCTGCCCATTTACTTACACGTGGACTGTATTTGTTTACAGACGGTAGGTGGATGTATGATTTAAAGCTTGGTTTAATAAACATTTAACCCCTCCAAACTTGTGTTATGGATTCTGTTATTCTTTTTTGTCATCAAAGTTCATAGATTTATGTAGGTCAGCTTTTTGCTAAAATCAGAATTTTGCTGCATTATCAATATTCAGGGTACTTTGAAGAAAGGCCTCATCTCTGATCTCAGTTTTCATTGCTTGCTGATTTTTGCTTGCTTGTTTGTTTGTTTGTTTGAAGCAGTGTCTCAGTATGTTGCCTACACTTGCCTCAAATTTGTGGGCTCAAGTTCTTCTCTTGCCTCAGTCTCCCAGGTAGCTGGGTTTACAGGCTTGCTGATGTTTTTACATATTTACAGTTCTGGGCAGAGACCTTTTAGTTCTGGTTACACAGCGTATGGATGAACTTGAAATTCTATCCTCTCCACCCCAAATACCTAGAAAAACTAGGAAGATGTAACAAGTATCTTTTTTTTTTTTTTGCAGGGGAGGTACTGGGGATTGAACTCAGGGGCACTCAACCACTGAGCCACATCCCCAGCCCTATTTTGTATTTTATTTAGAGACAGGGTCTCACTGAGTAGTTTGGTGTCTCACTGTTGCTAAGGCTGGCTTTGAACTCACCATCCTCCTGCCTCAGCCTCCTGAGCAGCTGAGATTGCAAACATGCCCCACCGCACCTGGCACAAGAATCCTTTTATACACAGGGCAAATCTCACAAAAATGTGAGGGAAGTTCAGGAACCTGAAGCAAACAAGGGCTAATAGAGTCCTGAGGCTTGAGTTGCAGATAGATCTTCTGCTGACAATGGAGCCCTCCAAAGGCCACGCTGCCAGCGGAGAAACGGACTAAGAAAACCCAGGTCTAGGCACAAAGAAGCTGAGCTTCAGGAGGAGAAAAATATTTCTGCTGAAGAATTTTAATCAGGGATACAGCACAACAATCATGATTGGGGTTTCAATTTTTAAAACTAGGAAACCATAAGCAAAAAATTGCATAGAAATTAGAACTTGAGGGGCTGGGGTTGTGGCTCAATGGTAGAGCACTCGTCTCGCACGCGCGGGACCCTGGGTTCAATCCTTGGGACCACATAAAAAATAAGTGAGCGAAATAAAGGTGTTGTGTCCAACTACAACTATAAAATAAATATTAAGGAAAAAAAATAAATTAGAACTTGAGTTATAATCCCAGTAGGTACCTGACAAAAGCAAGCATAGACCACTGCAGAAATCCACTCCCCATCCAGGCTGCCTGGGCTTCCCATAAATATAGTCCCCAATAAATTATGAAATAATGACACAGTAATTCTTTGTGAGTGAAAGTCAACCTATTTTCTAAAACAAAAGACTTTAGACTCCTAGGGTTTCAGATAATTCAATAACACGATAGATGCTTTGGAAGGTATTTTTTAAACTAAAGACATAAAGATTTAAAAATATTAAGGAAGAAATCAATATTGTTAAAATGTCCCTGCTACTGAAAATGATCTGCAGATTCAATGTAATCCCTATCAAAATACCAATGACATTATTGACAAAACTAGAAACACAGTCCTAAGATTCATATAGAGCCAGATACCATGGTGCTCATCTGTAATCTCAGTGACAGAATGAAGAGACAACCTATAGAAAAGAGAAGTATTTTCAAACTATACAAAGGATTGCTATCCAGAAGATGTAAGCAACTCAGAAAACTTGATAGCAAAGAAACATAACCCAATTGAAAAATGGGCAGTACATCTAAATAGACCTTTCTTTAATGGAAACATACAGATGGCCAACAGGTATGAAAAACAGTTCAACATCACTAATCACAGGAAACATGCAAATCAAACCCTGAGATATCACCTCACTCCAGTAAGAATGGCTGTTATCTAAAAGATAACAAGTGCTGGGGAGGAGGTAGAGAAAATGGAAGCCTTCCATGGTGTTGGGAATGTGAATTAGTTCAGCTATTACGGAAAACAATATGGAGGTTTCTAAAAAATGTAAAATGAATCTACTATAGAGCAATCATCATATAGTTAACTTTTGTGTTTTGAGTTAACTTTTGTGATCAAAACAAGCACAACTTAAAGGAGGAAAAGTTTATTTGGGAATCATAGTTTCAGAAGTCTTAGCCTGTAGATGGCCAACTCCATTGTTTTGGGCTCAAAGTGAGGCAGGACATCAGTGAGGAAGGGTTGAGTTTCAGAAAGCCACTTAGCTCTTGGTGGAGTTAGGAAGCTAAAGTGGGAGTGGGGGCACTGGAAATCCTCCAGCCACACCTCACCTGGCTACAGTTGCCACCCCATCAGTCCATTCAGACTAGGATGCACTGATTAGGTTGCAGCTTCTCACAATCCAATTCCTTTCCCTCTGCATACTCGTGCATTAACAAGAGTGTTTTGGGGACACTTCACATCCAAACTATGACACCATTCCCAAACCCAGTATATGGAAGAGATATCTTCTGCACTCTTGTGGGTTTTTGTTTGTTTGTGGTGCTGGGGATTTAACCCAGGGCCCTGTGCATGCCAGGCAAGCACACTGAGCTATATCCCCAGGTCTGTACTCCCGTGCTGATTGCAGCACTATTCACAATAGTCAAGAAATGGAAACAACCTAAGTGTCCATCATCTGATACATGGATAAAGAAAATGTACCACACACACACACACACACACACACACACACAGTGAAGTACTATTTGGCTGCAAAACAGAATGAAATCCTGTAATTTTTAATAACATGGGTACAACTGGAGGTCATTATGTTAAAGTGAAATAAGGCAAAGAAAAACAAATACCATATGACTTCATTTGTATGTAGAATCTAAAAAAGTGGATCTTATACATATAGACTAGAATGGTAACTAGTAGATGCTGGGGACAGTGGAGGCAGTTGGAGAGAGGTGGATTTGCAGGTATTATAGGGGAAAGAAGTTCCTGTGTCATATTACACAGCAGGGTGACTAAAGATGATAATGTACCGTATGTTTTTTGAAAGCTTGAAGAAAGGGTTTTGAATGTTTTCACCATAAATGATCAATGTTTGAGGAGACAGCTATTTCTACTCTTATATACATTATACAGTGTATACATCACATGACACCTCATTAATATGTATAGTTTTTACTTATTGGTTAAAATGAGATTTTAAAATAAAGAGTTTAATATAAATGCATATGTACATACAGCAAAATACCGTGGAGGGGGAAACCTAACCAGACAGATTTGGAAAAGAACCAACTAGAACATGTAGGAATTAAATAATCAGTTGGATTTTAAAAAACCGCTGAGTAAATAAATTTAAAACAGGTCTGATGGAGGTAGAGATAGAATTAGCAAACTGACAAATGGATATGAAGTAATAAAGTAGCAAAGAAAATATTTGAGAATTTAAGAGGTAAGTAGAGGATTGGATAATAAGACTACAGAAAAGAGAAAAGGGAGAGGCAGTTTAAAAATAAAAAGAACAACAACTAAACAGGCCCAGCATACAGTGGTGTACACCTGTAATCCCAGCAGCTCTGGAGGCTGAGGCAGAAGAATCGCAAGTTCAAAGCCAGCCTCAGCAACTTAGTGAGGCCCTCAGTAACTCAGCAAGACTCTGTCTCAAAATTAAAAATAAAAAGAGCTGAGGATGTGGCCCAATGGTTAAAGTGCCCCTTGGGTTCAATCTCTGGTATCAACATAAATTTAAAAAACAGGCTAAAATTGTCCAGAAGTAACTGTATACATTCAGTTTTATATTATTTTCTCTGATATATTTCTGCTAATCTTATCACCCAATCTTTATAGCTTTGTGATTGCATATCAACCAAACTGATGGCGAACTTTTCATTTGGGGGAAATAAATCCTATGAGGAATCTATAAGCATAACATCCTATTAATCTGAAGTTGTGATTGATTGGACCATGATGGAACAGAGTCAGAGGTGAATGTGTTACCTGTGGTGGGGTTAGAGGGCAGCAGGTGTGGTGCTCAAGCTCTTGGTTAACCTTCAATACCCATGCTATTAAACCTAGTTAGCTAACTCTTCTTTGGAGCTCACTTTGCTTTTAAGTGGGAGTCTCTGTGCACTCTGGCTGGTGGCATCACTGTGAAGGTCGGTGAAGAGCAGGAGATCTTAAAATATCTAAGGAGAAAAATCATCATCAAAGTAATGGCAGCATGTGGCAGGAGCAAGGTGGTGTGTTCACTAAATTATTTTACATCTTGTAGTGACATACTAAACTGCATTTCCCAGCTTCCCCAGCAGCACTCAGTGATACCATGGTGGCACCATGTGATTGAGTTCTAGCCACAGGCATAGGAAGGAAAAAACTCCCACTTCCAGATGTGATGTTCTGCTTCATTCCTTATGTTCTCTTTTCCTGGATACTTGTTGGATGGATATCAACTTCCAGGATGATCTAGAAGCCATATGTTGAAAATGCTATAATCTCTTTCAGCCAAGTTTTCTAGAAGGTAGTGTAGAGAAAAACCCCTCATTTTTGGTCCACAATGGACCGTGATAGATACAAAAAAGGAATCGTTCTATTATATCGCTGAGACTTAGGGGTTGTTTGTTATAGCAGCTAATATAACTTACCCTAATGTATTGCTAAAAAAGATGTTTAAAGAATCAAGAAAAGAAATGGACTTTGCAGAAACAGCAAGAGATTTGGGAGAATTTTATCCCTTGGTTACCATAATGTGTCTGCTTTGCAACCTTTGTTTGGACATGGGACTGTGTCGGAAAATGAGTGAGCCTGTGGGTGTGTCTCTCTTCTCTAGGACCAGCTAAATCCAACTGGCTAAATCCAGACTTTGTGTGGTTGTATCCTTCCTCTGTCATGTACACAGGTCCAGGATTTATAAGACTTGCTTACTTAACACTAGAGAAGCACCCCCACCCGCCCTGCCACACATGATGATGCTTAGAAACATCACTAGATCTTAGATAAGATCACCCACTGGCTGCCATATCGGAAAATCACGACTGGCTAAAAATAAAAAAGGAGTGGCTCTTCAGCTCGCCCTCAAAAATTAAGGAATTTAACTTCTCTGAATTTTACACATTGTGAGTGAAACAGAGGCACTGGAAAAAGTACTTTGTCATTGAACTTAATGTACCCTATAATTTGTCAAATTGGTGTTATTTGACTTGTTGCAAATGGAAATGCTTTTATGCTATGATAGGAATGTTATTTGCAGTTCTTTTCTGTTACTGTGCATATTTATTTTTAAATAACTTTTGAATAGGAAACAGTCACTTAATTAAAAAATAAAGACCCTTTTCCAAATAGCCATTATTCGTTTCTAACTTGCTCTTCTAGAATTCTGTTTTACAGATACAAGCAAATCCACTTTTTATCCCCTCCCCATTTCTTGATACAAAATAGAGATTATCACATGCCTTATTCCACATCTTGCTTTTTCTCACTTGACAATCTTTCATATTAATTGCTTGTTTTTAACAACTGTGTATTTATTTTAGCTTTTTATTTTGAAATATTTCTGAATTCATAGTTTCAAAGGCAGTACAGAGAGGTCCCCTGTACCCTTCACCTGGTTTTCCCTAAAACATCAACATCTGTTTTTTTTAAGTGTACATTCAAAATAACAGTGGCAAAAAACTTTTCACACAATTCTAAATACTTTGCATATGTGAACTTATTGATCCTCAAAATATAACATCTATATGCAGATAGGGAAACTAAGGCACAAAGTTGTTAAATAACTTGTTCAAATGACAGAGATAGATAGTAACTGATAAAGCCAGGATTTGAACCCAGGCAGTTTGGCTTAAAAGTCTATAGTCTTGCCAGGTGCGGTGGCGCACACCTGTAATCCCAGCAGCATGGGAGGCTGAGGCAGGAGGATCTTGAATTCAAAGCCAGCTTCAGCAATAGTGAGGTGCTAAACAACTCTGTGAGACCCTGTCTCTTAATAAAATACAAAATAGGGCTAGGGATATGGCTTAGTGGTCGAGTGCCCCTGAATTCAATTCCTGGTACCCCCCCCCCCAAAAAAAAAGAGTCTATAGTCTTAATTCTGAAGTGACATTGACTCCTTTTGAATAGTGGGTGGTTACTATTGGAAGGGTGGGAGATACAGTCACTCTTAACAATTCTTTTAGCAAATTTTCATGAATGTTCATGAAAGTTCATGCATACATTAAGACACTACTGTTCTAAAACTTTTTATTTCATCGCATTAATATTAAAGAACTTTCTAAGCAACATTTATGGATCTCACATTTTAAGTATATGCACATTTTATGACTTTTCCTTAATTTATTGCAGATATTTAGGTGTTTCTTTATAAGAATTGCTGCAGCAAACATTTTTTTGCACACATATCTCTGCTCACTTACATGAGTAAACATACAGTATAAGATCCTAGAAGTGAAATTGCTGGCTCACAGGTATGTATGGTTTATATTTTATTAGGCTTTCCCAAATTTCTCTTCAAAAATTTGGCTGTAATTTATGCTTCTGACCTCATTGTTTTGAGTTACCTCTACAACCTTATTAAGGATTCCTTGTTAATAATAATCAGAGACCTAAATTGAACCAATACAGAGATGTGCAATTTTGTATTTATCAAGAATTATAAGTCTACACTGCCAATATCATTGTAAAAGAATAAAATTTTGTTATACAAAACTAGATTTTGTTAAAACAGTTTTTTTTTTCCTAATAGTTGGTAGTGCAGAAAGTTTGTGTAGTCATGGAATGGATTGCATAAGGGAGATATTTGCAAGGAATATTGAAACAAGGAAGATTTTTTTAAGAACCCACAAATTCAGTGTTTCAGCAAAACCCCAGGAGACCCCTGTGAAAACCAACTAATTGGAGTAAGATGCTTTTCCAGGGGTGTTCTATGTTCCAATGAACTATGACCCTCATGCCCACTAGAGGGCACTCTCCGTGAATGACATTTCCCTTGATAGCTTGGCTGCTTGTGAAAAAATAGAATCATTATTCCTGCAAAAATTTTTTAGAACTTTGTTTCTTGGTCAAGTTTTTAGGGTCGCACATTTCCAAAGCTGAGTTTGTGCTGGGAAGTCAACCAGTGTCAGGGCTTCATTTTGACCTGTTTTTGGGGGAGGGGGGCACTAGGGATTGAACTCAGGAGCACTCGAACACTGAGCCACATCCCCAGCACTATTTTGTATTTTATTTAGAGACAGGGTCTCACTGAGGTGCTTGGTGACTCACTGTTGCTGAGACTGGCTTTGAACCGGTGATGCTCCTGCCTCAGCCTCCCAAGCTGCTAGAATTACAGGCATGTGCCACTGTGCCCGGCCACTTTGACTTTTTTTTTTTTTAATATATTTTAGTTGTCAATGGATCTTTTATTTATTTGTTTGTTTATATGCCATTCTGACGATCGAACTCAAAGTCTCAGACATGCCAGGTAAGCACACTACCACTGAACCACAACCCCAGCCCTCCACTTTGACATTTTAATTCAAAGATTTCGATATTCAGCAGTGTTCCTTCCATTTCTGGCCTCAATCCTCTGAGACGTTAGGCTGAACTTTGTGATTTCTGGATCTCTTTTCTTCCCTTTAATGTTGGAGACCCACTTATGAACATGTTTGTTCAATTTATCTTTGCATTTCTGTCATTCTGATGCTGATATTCTGAAGAAAGCCCAAACACATGCTTCCTGCATTTGGCTCTTGGGGAAATATTTCTAAAGGATGGTAGAGCTTCCGTGCTTTAAAGAAGTTTCAGAAAGAAGAGTGATAGGCATGGAGAGAAAGCACCTCGAAGATTACATCTGTAATCCCAGCAGCTCAGAAAGCTGAGGCAGGAAGATCACAAGTTCAAGACCGACCTCAACAATTTACGGAGACCCTGTTTCAAAATAAAGAATAAACAGGGCTGGGGATGTAACTCAGTGGTAAAGTGCCCCTGGGTTCAATCCCCAGTGCCATCCCTAGTTTCAGGACTTTGGAATCAAGCGGGAGATTCAAATTCTGGACCTGCATGACCTTGGGCAAGTGACTTAATCTCTCTAGGCCCCAGTTTTCTTCTCTATAAATAGTATCATTGACCTCATCAGGTTTCTTGAGAAGTCAGAAAATATGTAATTTGGTTTTTTTCACAATTCCCTAATTTCGTGATGGAAAGTGATACCGACGGGTTCTGCCCCCTCACATGTTGAAGTTTGAACATTGGAGAAGCATGCTGAGACAAGCATATAAAGCAGGGTTTATTTAAAAGGGTAACATAGACTTCTCCTGGGAGGGAGAAGGGGGGCATAGTTGGTATCCTAGTATTCCAAGAAGCCAGGTGTTCTGCCCTTTTTATATGTCTTAGGCTTCTTTTGTTCTCCTGCCTTTCCCCCCTTATCGTTCTCCTTCCTGCATACCAGGACTAGGCCCAGGAACACTGGGTGGGATGGCCCAAAGGTGGGAAACCAGTGGGCTGAAGGAGGAAGGGCAAGATGGTGTAGCCCAGGACACCTTAATTAACAACTTTATAGATCCCTGTAAGGAGGGGCAATTCCTGGGACAGGTTACCTTTGTAACAGTTTGGAGCAGGGACAGATTCTTGAAAAGGGTGGAGGAAGGGCTCTGAAGGAATTAACATTTCAATCCCTCAAGGAACAGTCTCGTCTTTCCAGGAATTTACTCAAAATTGGCCTGACTCGACTGACCTGACTCGATTTACCTGTCTATACTGACTGCCTGTCTAATTCTGGCTTCAAAAGGACTGGAGGAAAAAAAGGACAAGTCTTTATTTGGTTTGAATGGCCTGGGGCCTTCTGTAGGGAGATGTCCAGGAAGCCAGGGAACATTCTGGACTATAGATCAAAAGGGGAGGCAATCTCAGTAGCTCACAGCTGTAATCTCAGCTACTCAGGAGGCTGAGGCAGGACAGGCCTTAAGCCCAGAAGTTGGAGGCCAGCCTGGGCAATATAGCAAGACTCTATCGAAAAAAGCCCAGGGAGAAAGTGGGTGTCTCCACCATGCGGCCTGCGCAATGGTTTCATTAATGAGGTTCTTGGCATAAAGTTAGTTAGAAGAGATCAAAATAAAACACACAGACTCAGTTACCTTATTTCTATTGCCAGGTCCGAGACGGCTCCCCTCTCTGGCTCCAACCTCTAACCGCCCAGCAGGGCAGCAAGGATTACTCAGGGCTAGCAGGAGAGAGAGAGAGTGAACACGCCAGGGAGTAGCCTTTTATTGGGGAACAAGAAATTCAGGGGATAATTCCATCCAATGAAGGTTGAGGGGGGACTGCACTCCAAGGTCAGAGTCAGTGATTGGGCCCCCGGGGTCAGTGGTCAGTCACACCCCCACACGGATGGGTTCTCTCATCAGGAAAGGGCCGGGAAAATTCCGACACAGCCAGAAGCCTCAGACCCTTAACGGGAGCCGCCCAATCACGTGTCAGGATGGCTTCCCACAGGTGTCCAGGCCCAGAGACAGATATACAGGATGAAGTGTCCAGGTGAGGCCCACTCAGACATTCACAGTTCATTTCTTTGGGAGAATTTATAAATCTTGCACCCCATTCCCCAGGTTTTATTCATTGAGAGTCCTGCTTTTATTTGACCCCATCACCACAAATGTGAAAGCCACTGGGAGTCTATTAGTTGTTGCAACACCCAGAGTGACCTCTTGAGGGAAGCACTGTGCAAGGCTTATTCAGTCAACACCATTGGTTCAACAGAGCTCACGGAGCGGATATTACATGCTAAGTGAATATGTGACTTGGGCATTTACCTCTGGTCAGTGAGGGGGAGGTGGAAAGAGGTGAGGGTTAGAGCTGGATTTCTAGATTTATTAACTTTCCTGGAGAGGTTCCTCTGTGCCAGGCATTTCCCCCATATCTTATGTTACTCCAAGGCAGGTGGCAGTTGTCCCATTTTATAAAGGCAGAGAGGCATGACCACCACCAGTCTTTCTTCAAGCGACCTCTGCTTCCCAGAATGTCCTTTTCTCCACTGGCCGCTGTGTCCTACCTCTCCTCCAGCATAGGGGTCAATTCCCCCAAGTTGCAAATCTTATTAATCTTAATTGCAACTGTCCTGACCTTCCAACTGGACTGGATGGATCTCCAGGAGCCAAGAGTCCTGTTGATGCCTCATTGTGTCCCCAGGATCCAGTCCAGAGATGACGACTAGGGGTGCTCCATTCCAGTTGGTTACTGACTGGAAAGAGGCACAGGGACATGGTGATGTGGCAGATTTGGGTCATAGCTCCAAGTTTTTCCCCCTCTCTTTAAATCCAGGCCTTTGGCCATTCAACTTTACAGAGTATTTCCAGCCCCACAAACTA